CAGCCCTGGTGGCGCTGCCGTGGTCCCGAAGGTCGACACGCCCCAGCTGTGCAGCTTCCTCCGGGCAGCCTGCCAGGTATGCCGGTCCTGGGGCTGCATCTTGCTAGTGCTGTCTGTGCTTCTGGATTGTATTCCTTAACGTTAATTGCTTGCATTGTAAAATCTAGACTGAAAAACAGGTATGTTAAGTTGGCAAGGGACACACATACCCAGGGTATTTGAAATTAGTAAACTTATGGCTTTAAAAACTGGTTCTAAGTACGTCCAAAGGCTGAGGGAGCGACGGGGATCCTGAGTGCCCGCTTATCTCATCTGAGCCCCAGCCCTGCCCCTCAGTTGGGTCAGAGCCGGTCACAGTCACCAGATCCTCCACGAAGGCTCAGTATGAGTCTCGGAGATTCTTCCCCCAGCGCGTTACAGAGTCTGGTTTCATGTGACTTTAAACTTATTCAGCTTCTCTTAGAGTTGACGTGGAGTGAGGATGGGCGGGGGGAAGGTGGTGCAGGATGACTTGGGGACAGGCCGGCGGCTTCATGTCACCGTGGTCCCTCATCTTCTCCCCGGGCCTCGCTCCGGGCCAGCTGCCTTCCTGAGTCCACTGCGTCTCCCTCCCGCCTCCTTGCCATCGTCCCAAGCTGGACCCCTGACTCCTGAGGGCAGGGACGCTGATCTGCTGTACACTGGGTCTCAGCGCAGCCCGGCGAGTGGGACGTGGGCTGTGCTGAGTTTCCTCTAGAAACGCTGGAGGGTCTACCTCTCCCCCTCCTGTTACCTTTAGCCCATGTTTTCTGTGACAAGCGATGCCTGTGTTGGACCATGGCTCCCCCGTGGAGTTTACGTTTTTGGAATTTTCCCTGCAGTCTCTGCTGTTGTGTGGGAGGAACACTCTAGTTTCCTTGTGTCAGTTGTCGTGATGTCTTGGACTTGGGCAGTTAGGTTTTTGGAAATGGGTAACTGCCCAGGTAGTGATTTGTGTGTGGTGTTTTTCCTGTAAAGCGAGCACGTTGGGAGTGCTCACCAAGGACTGCTCTCATGTCTTTGAAGGTGATTGCGGCTTT